ATGAAGTGCAATGGACAATCAGCCGTATGTCTACATGCATGTGTTCCCTTTCAACCATACAGATTGCCCCATTCGTGGAGTCAATTGCCATAGCAATGTTCAAAAATCCTTACTTGGACGCACCAGATGACTTGGTGCTGCGCTGGACTCGCCTTGCCCTCTCCTGCACCTCCATGCCTGCGGCCTCCCGCCCCTCCATGAATCAAGTGCTGGGGGAGCTGGTGAAGTTGAAGCAGGAAGCTTCTGGAGCACATGAGAGCCATGTGGACGAGGCCAAATCTCGCATGGACATGGAGATTTGGAGTTCCATTGGCTCCTCTAGCTTCACTGCTGAAATGTCCCGTGCGGAGCGAGAGGGCATGCCAAGTGGCTCTTCCAAATAATCAAGTTTGTTTTCGAGTGCACCTGTTGGTTTACCGAGAGCTTCGAGTACCAATGGTTTGTGCCATATGAAAGAAGCCTGTTCATAGATGTTTCAAAAGGGGTACTGGTAAGATTTATGTGATCAGATCGATGGAGCGACAAAAACTTGATTAGTACACGAAAAACAGCAACTGTAGCTCTGGTTTGTCCATGGGCACATATTCTGTGCTCACCACAAGTTATATGAAGTTCTTAGATATCGCATGCGTTATATTTGGTATTTGGTACATTGTAAAAAAGCACCACTTTTGATCAATATGGGATGTCTAAATGGAAATGACAAGCTTTTTTGGTGGCAGCAAGAATATCAGGTGCACTATACGATATAACAACTCTTTTTCCATCCCACATAGCTAACCCGCAAAGCATCACATTCTCCCTCTATTTTGTGCATCCGGACATAATCTACTCCTGTTGAATGCCTCATCGGCTGTTACACTGGGGCAAGAAACGGTTCGACTCTCCTTCACAACCCGTTCATTCACAAGGTGATGTCAAATGCGATACGGGAATATTCTTTTGGGAGGAATGAAACCTGGCGACAGAAGCATTAGTAGGGGAGGGTTTTGAGAGAGAGTGGGGAGATTGATACCATATTCTCCCGGCAATAAGACCCGGGGTTCCCAAAAGGACTTGAGGGAACATTAGAGAAGGGCAGATTGATCTATACCCATGAGCATCATACAAGTGCTTAGGGTTTTGAAGTGGTGGAGGGGGGAGGGGGGAGGGAAAGGGGGATAGGAAGAGGGGGGCTACGGTGGGGGGAGGGTGGGGAAGTGGATGCTGACATTGGTCTATGCCGAGAGGGAAAAGGAAAGTGGGTCGCTGCAAGGGGGTTGGGAAGTGCAATATGACTTGTACAGACAATGATGAATAGTATGCCGAGCACAGATATTTCATAAACCCCATGGCTGACTCATCGACCCCAGCCTGAATGACTGATCCACGGCTAACTGAATGACTGACCATTGGCTGACTGACCGACCCATAGCGGACTGACTTACCATTGGACGAAGCATCAGACAAAGCTCATTTGGGACTGGTTTAGGGTTGATACCCATTTGACTCGGGACGCGCTCGCAGGTTGGAGTTTTAGGTCAGACATTATAGAGAATGAGGTAATACTCCCTCCTTACGCTTGTTTCACTATATCTGTATCCCCTGCTTTGACTTATTGTAAACGTCGTTGCATGCCGCTGTATGTCCTGCTCCTATCGCGGATTTGACAACATATTTGTGGGCACATTAGCGCTAGGGTTGGCTGACTGACCTTTCAGCCCATTGTTTCCACTGTTTATTGGGGTGAATTTACCATTTCATCGGCATACAGCTAGGTTTAGGCTTTTGAATGGATGGCTAAAAAGGATGGCTCATCCACCTCTTCCATTTCATCGACAGTCCTGGCCCATATGGCACGCCCTTAACCTTCGATGCCTCCTTTAACTTCGTCATGAAGCCTGCGGCCAAGAACATGCGGAGAGGGCCTTGCATCTGTGTTAGGTCGTACTCATCTCATTCTCAGGGTAATCTCAATGAAGGAATATATTAGACAGCGTAGCGATAACGAGAGAGTTTCTGCTATGGGAACGATGTTGCGCGAGCAACTTGGTAGAGTTTCGGTAGCGTTTGCCTCTAAGGACTTGGTGAGAATTGAAGTAGCATTTGGGCCAAGTAGAATTGCAATATCAACTATGAATACAAAAGCAAACACACTAGATAGATATAGGCTACGGGGAGGTTTCACAAAGTTGGCGTGGTGCTGCGCACTCAAGCCACTCTCAGGTCACTCTCTGGTCACTCTCAGCTCAGTCTCAAGTAAATTTAAGGTCAGTCTCATGTCAATTTCAGGTCAGTTTTAGGTTAGGGTCAGTTTTAGGTTCAGGTCAGTTTCAGGTCGGTTTAGGTTAGATTAGGTCATTTCGGGTCAGTCTCAAGTTAGTTTCAGGCCAGTCTCGAGTCAATTTCAGGTCAGTTCTAGGTAAGATCAGGTCAATTTCAGGCCAGTCTGAGGTAGTTTTGAGTCAGTCTTGGGTCCGTATCGGTCCAGCCTTGGGTCAGCCTTGGGTCAGCCTTGGGTCACCCTTGGGTCATCCTTGGGTCAGGGTCAGTCTTGGTCAGCCTTGGGTCAGTCTCATGTCAGTTTCAGGTCAGTATTAGGTCAGATCAGGCTAGTTTCAGGTCATTCTCAGGTCGGTAGATCTGGGGTCAGTCTCAAGTCAGCCTCGGATCAGCCTCGGGTCAGTCTCGGGTCAGCCTTGGGTCAGTCTCAGGTGAGCCTTGGGTCAGTCTCAGGTCATTCTTGACACAGGTCGGTTTCAGTTTTGTCTTAGGTCAGTCTTTGGTCAGTTTCTGGTTAGTCTCAGGTCAATCTCAGGTCAGACTCAGGTCATTCGTGGGTGCGGATACACTGCAAACATCATGAGCTGCCCTCAATCTCCCACCCTACCCTTTGTCCTCCCCCACCCTACCTACCATTAACGCTTAAACCCCAGAAGGACATATTCAACCGGCTCAAGGCCAAGATTGGTACCCTTAGAACAAGTCTACTGGTACTCTCAATGCTGGAGTGGCTCTCATAAGAAGCTAGGTGCATTTTGAGGCGGTGTGCTCTGCCTCTTCTTAGACTTCAGATTTCTCGACTCCCTGCCTTCTTTCCTATGCGTTCGTGCACAATGTGATTGCCTTACATCCTTCTTTGCATGCCCCTGTTTGGCAGGTGCAAGGTCAAGATTACGACTATCTCCACCGTCTCCCTCTAGCCATCATGTCCCTCCGGAACCGCATCATCACAAGCTTACGATTTGTGGCACATTTTACAACAAATATGGCAATTTCACAACAACCACTACAAGCATAGCGCAAGCATTTTGCACACATTCTTCTAACCAAACCGAGCCACAATACAAGGAGGGAGGGGGGGGTATGAGAGGCGTGAGGAGTAAGAGAGAACGTATGATAGGAGTGAGGGGTTATGAGAGGAATAATGGGGCATGAGAGAACTGGGGTTCATGAGATGAATGGGGAGTATAAGAGGAGTGGGGGAATGGTATGGGTGGGGGGGAAGGGGGAGGGGGGGGGGGGGGGGGGGGGGAGTGTAAGAGGGGATAGGGGGGTATTAGAGAAGTGGTGGGTGTCAGAGGATTGGTGGGTATCAAGGGAGTGCGGGTATGAGAGGAGAGGCGGCATGTGAGTGGGGAGAGGGGTGGGGGTATTCAGAGGAATGGGGGTTATGAGAGGAGTGGGGGTTTTAAGGAGTGGGGGTATGAGAGAAGTGGGGTTATAAGAGGAGTGGGGGTATGAGAGGAGTGGGGGTATGAGAGGAATGGGGGTATGAGACAAGTGGGGGGTATGAAAGGAATGGGATTTGTGAAAGAACTAGGGGTTACGAAGCGTAATACAAGGCATGAGGGGAGAGGGGTCTTGAGGGAATGGGGGTGTGAGAGGAATAGGGACTATGAGAGGGGTGGAGGGTATGAGATATAATTCCGAAGGTGCACAGTAATTCCGCGTTACAGGTTAGATATGTGGGATGGAAAAACAGATGAAATGTCACGTAGTGCAGATTGTTAGGTTAAGAGTGTAGAGCTTTACAGGCATGATGTTTGAAACTGATTCGTTCTCTCTAAAAATCCCACACTCACTCTACAAGTGAACCTGTTCCGTAATTTAGAAACAACCATGCATTCGACAGCTAAGAAAATTAGAAAGAAGGTGGTAAGCACATAGTGGAGGTGGGTTGGGCACATGGTGGAGGTGGGTTGGGCACATGGTGGAGGTGGGTTGGGCACATGGTGGAGGTGGGTTGCGCACATGGTGGAGGTGGGTTGCGCAAATGGTGGAGGTGGGTTGGGCACATGGTGGAGGTGGATTGGGCTCATGGTGGAGGTGGGTTGGGCACATGGTGGAGGTGGGTTGGGCACATGGTGGAGGTGGGTTGGGCACATGGTGCAGGTGGGTTGGGCACATGGTGGAGGTGGGTTGGGCACATGGTGGAGGTGGGTTGGGCACATGGTGGAGGTGGGTTGGGCACATGGTGGAGGTGGGTTGGGCACATGCTGGAGGTGGGTTGGGCACATGGTGGAGGTGGGCTGGGCACATGGTGGAGGTGGGTTGGGCACATGGTGGAGGTGGATTGGGCTCATGGTGGAGGTGGGTTGGGCACATGGTGGAGGTGGGTTGGGCACATGGTGGAGGTGGGTTGGGCACATGGTGGAGGTGGGTTGGGCACATGGTGGAGGTGGGTTGGGCACATGGTGGAGGTGGGTTGGGCACATGGTGGAGGTGGGTTGGGCACATGGTGGAGGTGGGTTGGGCACATGCTGGAGGTGGGTTGGGCACATGGTGGAGGTGGGTTGGGCACATGCTGGAGGTGGGACGCGCCATCCACAAAAGTGAGGGGCTGCTTCCGTAGATCTTCCCTACCCTCACTGTTGTCGCCCACCTACCGTACCATTTTCCCACAACCCCATCCATCTATTCAGCAGTCACAAGGCCAGAATTTTGATTCCGTCAGTGGAGAGGCTCGCTGAAATAGGTCACCATTTCACCACGCTCTGTGCTCTTCCAGTTCTCAGCCTTCATCCTCCCTGCCTGCCATGCCTTCCCTTTCTTCCCTGCCCACCATCGCCTTCCATCACCTCTCCTTCTCTGCAAGCACTATCCAGCAGGTGCAAGGCCAACTCCACCACTCCCACGAGCTCACATGCTTTGGCAGGACCAGCGGGAATAAGAGTGGCAACAGCAGTGGCAAGGTGGGTGAAGCAATGAATGGGACAAGCACTAGTAGAGACAGCAGCTGAGGTGAAAGACAGGTCCGCACCGCAGTATGCTGAGTGGATGTGTGGCTAAGTCGATGCTACAAACTCCCTTACATTTCCCATGCTCTGGATGGCACGTCTTCTCGTCCCTTTTGTATCATGTGCGTGTTGGCATTGTCAAGCATCTGCCTCACACATTGCTGGGGCTGGAACCAATTGCTGTGTATGTGTTTTGGCTTCCACCCTTAATACCGCTGAGTGCATTTTATTCCTCTGCTCCATATCTCCCCCGCTGTTCACTTCTCTTCTCGAAGTATGCAGGTTCAATGAGGATGACCGAGTGTGTACCCAGAGAGAGATTCCTCCCCCTACCCACCTGACACGCCTTTATGCCAGGGAGCCTGATGCATCCATGTCATCCACGGGTCCATGGCTAGTCTACACATACACGCCTTCATGCATGTGTCCCCATGGAAGAGTACAATTCAGTGCGGTTGGGTGAGATGGGTTGCGCGGCAGAGTGGTTTGATTGCACTCTGAAGGTTGGGAGCGATAATTGGCTCATCATGGCCAAACAATGGACTTCAGATGAATTACAGATTGGCAAATAGGTTCTCTTTTGTCTATTTATGTGACTCCCCCGAGCATCCCATCAAGAATCTCAAGCTCGTCCTCCATACTGCGCTGAGGTCCCGAACCTTGCCTTCGAACCTCTATATCAATCTTGAGCAGCCTCGAATCCTTTGTCGACGCCTGAAATTCACAGAAATCCCTTCGCATTGCACCCAAATGCGCGACAACTTCAATCATATGCGGTCGTGATGAGGCAAGGAGCGATGTGCATTGTAGAGCAAGCTCCGTCACCTTGAGTAGCAGCTCATCAGGTATCGAATCAAGATTAGGGTCTTTAAGAGCTTCTATGTCGTCCGCTTGGACAAGTTTGTCGACCTGGAAAGGTGGACAAGTAGGGATCATTAATGCTTACTATGGGCGAGGCAGGCAAGCAGCTGTGTAGTACTTTGTGAAATTGCAGTGACGAACGAGAATGGAGAATAGAGAGCAAAAAGGATTTTTTGAAGATTTTTTGCAAGAAGGATGATTAAGACATGACTAGCGATTCACCGACATGCGTATGAGGATAGACACCAACGATGTACTTGACTCATATATTTTATTTGCACTTACCCAGTCTCGGATGTTGATTCCACCATTCTCTTGGATCACAACAGGCTTGGTCAGCATGATCCTAAGCATCGTCACGCCGAAGCTGTAGCAGCAGGGGGGGCGGATGAAAAAAAAAGGGGAAAAGAAAAAGAAGCACGCTCTGTGGCAAGTACCTCGTGAAAAAGAATGCAACCATAGGTGACAAAGGAAGAGCATAGCATGTCACATGGAAGTGATAATGTGGGGCGGTTAACTATGTTCATCAGTGCAATCGGCCATGGGAGAGTCATTCATTCAATTCAACCCAACCCACCTATAAATATCAGCCATGGGCGTGGCCTTGTTGGTGCGCGAGTAAGCGGGGTCCACATAACCCGGAGTGCCGACCACTCTTGTGGGATTCACTGTGGTGCCCTCTGTCATGCGCACCAACCCAAAGTCTGATATTTTTGCCTGTAGATGAAGGGAGGAGAGATGAAAAACACAAGTTGTTGATGCCATGGCAGGGGGCAGTAGGATGTAGGCAGGAGCTGTCTTAGATTATAGCTGTGTTAGATGATAGCTGTGTTTGATGATAGCTGTGTTTGATGAGACTCATGCGCACCAGCCCAAATTCCAACAGCGTTGGCTGTGATACTAGGCACCTTTGCATGGAGGCTGGAGCAAAGTGGGAAAAAAGAGAACGGTGGTTTTGTGTGTTATGGCCCCATTCACGAGGCCAAAGCTCGAATGCTATCTGTTGTGTACAAATAGCTCGCAAGTGGCTCCCCAACCGCACTACGCCGCACTCACCCAGCCGGCCCCTTAGTCCCATTTTTCACCTGCATGCGGAATTCAAGCAGTTGGCGAGCTTGATGTCTCCAACCCCACGCCTTCACCACAACCGCACCACACAACACTCAACCATCAAATAAACTCCACCTCCTCCCCAGTACCTGCATGTTAGCATCAAGCAGCACGTTGGCGGGCTTGATGTCTCGATGCACGATGTCAAATTGGTGGAGGTACTCCAACCCCCGCGCCACCCCCACCAGCACATCCATGCGCTGCTGCAGCGTCAACTTGCCCTTTTTGGATCCTGCATGGGGACATGATGGGGTGGTTTGTAGCATCAACAGAAAGAAAACCTCTTCAAAGATATCCATGCTTTGAGACGTCTCACAAGGAAACACCGTTCTCTCACAATGCAAAAGAAGAGAAACAGTAAGGGGCATCCACTGCAAAGAGTGTTCCAACTAGGAATCGTAAGAACTTGCGTTGAAGTTTATGATACAAATAAAGGCGCTCAACACTCTTAATCTCTTCAAGAATGGAAAAAAAAAAACGTGTGTGATTTTAGCGCGTATAGAACGTACGAGATGCTATCACCCAAATGCCTTTTGATTTTTATCGCATGCGGGCTTTACGGAACCTCAAGGTGGCGAAACCATGTCGCATGTGCCAGGACGAACCAATGAGAAGAAGTGAAACTTGCAACCCAACATCACAACACTTGACCTTTAGCAGGGCCAATGTAATGCTCACTTGAAAACGACAGTCTACATTTGGCAGGACGAGCGCCGAGTGCTTTGAAACCGCCCTTTGTGGTTTCAGGTTTCGGAATTTCGTGAACAAAATTCCCTGCATTTTGAATTCACCTTGCCGAATTGTTGTTTCGTCGAACCCGAAACCAGTCAAATGTACACTGACGCTTTAAGAAACTTCTCTCACCTCTAGTAAGGTACTTCTCAAGGTCTCCGTTTGGGCAAAACTCATAGATGACGATCTGCTCGTGGTGGTCTGTTGCCCTGTCAATGTCCACACAGTACCCCAGCAGCCGCACCAAGTGCAGATGGCTCTTTGATGCCATCTCCTCCACCTGGCAGGGGAATGAAGGGACGAGAAATGTCAGACGTGGATTCGTGACAATGATTTTTTATGGCTCTTTGACGCCATCTCGTCCACCTGCTCAAGACGGGGAAAGTTAGCAGGAATACAAATGAGGGCGATGAATGTGCGTGAATGAGAGCCTCTGATGGCTCTTTGATGCCATCTCCTCCACCTGCAATGGAATCAAGAAGATGAAGGAATGCGGAAAGTGCTGCGAATGAGCACTAAGATTGCGCTGAAGGCATAAGGTATTCGACGAAATCTCATCCACCTGCACGGGAATCAAGGGGACGAGGAAATGCAACAAGGAGTCGACTCTTTTAAAACAAGTAGACATGGGCAAACAACTCTTTTATAACTTAAGTTTGACATGTGACACGATTCATCTTCTTCTTGCCTAGACGCCCAACACACCTCTCTTTTGAAGTCATTCGTGAGTATCTTGGCGCGTTTCACAGCCCACACAACCGAGGGATCTTCCAGACACACCCCACGATACACCTCGCCATGCCCCCCTGACCCAATATGGTTTGCCTCTGCCCAGTTGTCCGTTGCCTTGACTACCACTTCTAAGGGGTATCGCTGGCACATGAGTGATTGGGTTGGCACCGATGATTCTCCAACGCCTGTGGGGAGGCTTGATGGCTCACGTGCTGGCAATGGGTGTGCATGCATGGAGGCAACCAAGCATATGAGCATGGGGCATGGGTGGGCATGAGCAACCATGCTTAAGGGAGCAACTGGGTGACTGATTTCACTCCCTCCTTCCATGCTCCACCGCCTGTGGGGTGGCTTGATGGCTCACGTGCTGGCAATGGGTGGGCACGGTAGGATAGGAATCAAGCATACCGTGGTGTGAAAAACTTCTAAGAAATATGAAAAGTGACTCACGTGTTGAGCATAGGCTATGGGGATTGAGTTAAAGCTCGCGTCTCAAGACTCATATTTACAAGCGTTTAACACTTGGTTGGTTACGCACGTCCGTAATTGGATTCTTCAGCTCATCACAGATTTCGTCAATCGCCAACCAGTCCCGGAGGCCCAAACCCAACCAAATGTTAAAACGGAGAAAATATGAGACGCGAGCTTTAAAGACATGGAAATCCGTGCTGAAAGGAACAACTACGATGCCTTGGTCACAGTTGCAAAGGAGAAGCACTGCCACATGAGGGCCAAGCTCGGCATGGCTGACCACTCCCGCCCCCTCTCCCCCTTTCCACTCTTTTTTACAGTCATTTCTGGAAAATGAGGGATAGGAACACGAGGTGGAAGGGTTGAGTTCAGTGCGCATGCTTGCATCCTATGACTTCTGAGAATGAATCTTGGGATCCTGTCAAAAACAAAAAGGCAAACATACACGTGCCTTTGAGGTTGCGGAATACGGCAACTTTTGAAGCGCCTCTAAAAGGCAAAAATGCCATGAATTACCTTATATGCGGAACAAGCAAAACTACGCAGCTCCCAAAGAACACGAGCCTTCAAGAGGAGAGACAACTTCTAGCAGAAGGAAAGTAATGTTCTTGTAAATGTAGCTGTAGCTGTAGATGTAACTGTAGCACACATGTTCACAGAAACATCAACAGGAGGTAGAGATGAGCATCCGGCCCGGCCCGGCCCGACCCGACCCGACCCGACCCGACATGGGCGGGCCACACGAGCTCCCGGGTCTGGTCGGGTCAGGCCAACCTCGGGCCAGGGTGCTGAAGGTTCTGGCCCGACCCGGGCCTACACACTCGAGTCAACTTGGACCCCGTTACAGGTCGGGTCGGGCCGGGCCAGGATGACCCGCCCAGGATGGCCCCTAAGAACCTCTACGAAATGGTTCAATGTTAGCTGCTGGCGCACCTATGAGCAACTGCTAGCCTAAAACGAGGCGTGCAGCCTGTGAATTGAAGTATCGCTAGTAAAACGCGATGTTGTAAAAAAACGCCATTCCTGCATCGCGATTTTCCGTGTACAGCAGGATACGATAGTAAACTAGCTATAAAGTCTGTCAATGAGGTTTGAACAGGTGGTAACCAAGTAGCTTTTAAGCTTAGGTGACTTGCTTGCTGCCATTAGGCAAGATTGAGAGCGTGGGTAGGTTCTGATGTCGAGACGACAACAATTTGACCTAGGGTTTCGTCCCCAGTGTGTCGAAATCGGGTCGGGCCAAAAGCCCGGTTTCGTCCCTGGTCTTGACCCGAATTCGGGTCGGGTCAAGCCTGACCCGAAACCCGACCCGACTCGGCCCGAGTTCCATGCTCGGATCGGATTTTAGACCGGGTCGGGTCGGGTTGGTCCGCACGGGGCAGGCACATGAAACCACTGACCTGAACCGGGCTAAACCACGGGTCGGGTCGGGCCGGCAAATGCTCATCTCTAACAGGAGGATTGTGGTGTGGGGGACAGACGGAAACAAAGGTGAATAGAGGATATTCATGGCAATTAGGCTACCAGCCAGAACTTCACCTTGGGGGGACCTTCGCTTCCAGAGCAGAAACAGGCCAATAACGAGGAGGACAAAAACGAGTACGCCTCCAACAGCAATGCCAATGATCGCCCCTAGAGGCAGGGCGGACGAGGAGGAGGAGGAAGATGTATCTGTGGGGGGAAGAGGAGGAGTGCTATTGGCAGGCGGAGGAGGGGAGGGGCTAGCAGCAGGGGAGCCAGAGGAAGGGGCAGAGCTGTTGGAGCAGGAGGAGCAGAAGTCGGGGCAGTTGATGCAGAAGTGCGAGGAGGGGGTCTGGTACACAACGCACGGCTGGCCTGCTCCTGGGCACACCATGCCACTCTCGTTGAGCCCTCTGGGGGGTGGGGGAAGGGAAGGAGGGAGACGGGGGAGGAAAGAAGCATCGATCAACGGAAGCGGGTGGGGTGCAGAACTAAGAGGAGAAGTTCTGCTACACCACACACGGCTGCCCGGCCCCTGAGCACACCGTTCCGCTCTCGTTGAGCTCACTGAGTAACCGAGGCAGGGAAGGACAGGGTGAGATGGGGAGAGGGATGGAGGGGGTCTGCCACACCACACACGGCTGCCTGGCTCCTGAGCACACCGTTCCGCTCTCGTTGAACTCACTGGGGGACAGGGGAGAGGGGTGAGGGGGAGGGGGGGGGAGGGGGAGGGGGAAAAGGTAGCGTTCACTTACACCCTCCCTTACACTCACACCCCCACCTTACACTCACCCACTCTCTCCCCTACACTCATGACCCCCTTACGCTCACACCACCTTCTCACACCTCCCATTACAATCACCCCCCTTTTACACTCACAGCGCCGTGAGGAGCAGGAGATTCCCGAGGGTGGGTGGAACGATGCCCGAGAGAGCATTGGTGGCGAAGCCTCTGGAGGGAGGTGGTGGGTGGCAGGTGATGGCAATAGGCATGGTGGGTGGTGATGGGACGGCAAAGGGGCATTTTGAGTGACATTAGAGAGCATCGGCGGCGATGCAGGGAGGTGGAGGGTGGTGGCAATAGTGCATGGCGGGAGGCAGGTGATGGGATGGCAATGAGGCATTAGGAGTGACATTGGAGAGCATTGGTGGCGAAACCCCTGCAGGGAGGTGGGGGGTGGTACTGTAATGCGTCGCATTACACTACCAACGTGGGATGGTACTGGCAATAAACCCGGGGAGTTTGAAGTAGGTATTAGTATTATTATGAAGTAACTCGAACAAGTTCGCACATTTACCCTAAACTCCATCAAAAGTTTGCACCTTTTCTAGAATATTCAAGGCAAGTAAAGAAAGGAGAATCCCGGAACCGTACAGGTATGTGAGATTTGTGAGGCTTCCGAATTGGGAGGGAATTTCTCCAGAAAACTGGTTATTGTCAAAGTTCCTGCACAACGGGGCAACATTCGCACTTTAAATGAATCTTTCGGTATTATGGGAATCTCTCCAAAAAACTGTTTATTGCCAAAGTGCCTGCAACAGGGGAAGGAGGTTGGAGTGGAGATAATGTGACATATTGTCGTACTTCCCTCGCAACAGTACTCTAATAACAAGAAGCACCTACTTCACGGGAGTCACTGTGGAGAACTCTAAAAAATGCATAAAGTAGCCTTTATTCCGCAACAAGGCTTGCGATGGAAATGTTAACCTACACTTGCTTAAATTCAGCAGCCATTATTTCTAATAGGCCTGTCAATTTTGATTCGGACGATCTAATGGCGGCTCAGGAAACCAACCTCTCAGTGAACTCAACATGCCATCACAGCACAATCTTAAGATTGTGCAGCAAGTACCGTAAGAAGATGCCATACGATCTTGACCATAAGGCACGTGAAATGAGAGCGTTTTTAAATGTCTCAAAAGAAGCGTAAGATGTGATAAGTGCATGATCGTAAGGTGCCTCAAGAAACGTAATGTACCATCAAAGCGGAACATACAGCACGTCGAGTTTGGTGAGGGTGGCGAAGAATGAAGGGATGGTGCCACGGAACATGTTTCGGGCGAAGTCTCTGGGGTTATGGGATGGTGGGAGGCGTGGTGGGAGGGGAGGGATGGTGGGAGGGATGGTGGAGGGGTGGATGGTGGGAGGGATGGCGGGAGGGGTGGATGGTGGGAGGGATGGCTTTTGAATTGACAAAGGAAGGCATGGTGAGACAACGGAAGTCACTGGGGAGGAGGCAGAGACAATGGAAGGGATTGTGAGAGACCCTCTCAAGGAAGTAGTGGAGAGCGACTTTCCTGAGAACCACACCACACCACACCGCACCACACCGCACTGCATAACATCACACAACACAGACACCACACCACACCGCACGGCACTGCACTGCACCACACCATAACAATCTGCAGGCATACATGTAAGAGAGTTTTTTGAGCAAGGAGAGGGTTTCTGGGATGCTTCCCGTGAAATGGTTGTATTGAAGCACACTAATGGAGCGAAATGATAGGTGTGGTGGGGTATGAAGGGGTGTAAGGGGGTATGAAGGGGAGCGATGGGGTATGAACGGGAGGGTGGGGTACGCGGAAAAGTGGGACAGAGAAGTGTTTTATGAAAACAAGTCTAGCACGGGGAGCAGAAATGAGTCTTTGAGTTCATGGCCTGTGTTTCAAGCTCATAATGGAGTAGCAGCAAACCTGAAGTAAACGTTTAAGCAACAAAGGAACGCTTTTGAGTTTGTGGCCTTCATTTTTGCATGGACGTCTTTTCAAGTCGTGTGACGATTCTTGCATGGGGAGCAACGTTGACAAGAATCCTAGAGTCACATTCTGCTATTGAGGCATCTACTTTTGAGGCGCCCCACAGTAATACTATAGTCAGATTCTGCTACTGAGGCGAGGCGCCTCAGAAGTTAGCTTCTTACACGGTCTGCAAGTAGGTGAGCCTGCCAAACTCCACAGGGATAAAACCTGAAAACATGTTGTAGGCAAGGTTGCTGCAGGGATGGAGAGGTTGAGAACAAAGAGCGAGAAGAGACTGAGAAGAAAGTGAAAAACCGCAGGTACAGAGGGAGCCAATGCAATGCAACCTGTAGGCATGGAATGGAACTTGAGATCTTGTTGTAAGCAAGGTTGCTGCAGGGAGGGGATAAGAGGGGGTAGAGAGAACAGAGAGAAGAGTGAGAGGAGAGAGAAGAGTGAGAAGAGTGAGAAGAGAGAGAATGCGCCTGAGATTACAAAGATGGAAAGAGATAGATTCTATAGGCGAGGCGAATGCACCCTGGCACTCCCAGCGTAAGAAATAATCCCAATCTCCCAGCTGGGTGAATGAACCCAGCATTTAAGGCGCCTCAGAAGTCATCTCTCTACCCGCAATAATCCCAATGTCCCAGCATACGACACTGCTAGCTAATGGTCGCTACTGCTTACACAACCACCAAGCTGCTGAGGGCTGCCACTGCTGGAAGGATTTCCCCCTCGAATTTGTTGTTTCCACCTAGATTGCTGCGCCCGAGGGGGAGAACAGGAATGAGTCAATAAAGGTCAACACACGTCTACAGAGGTCAACAGAGGTCAATGCTGGTCAGCAGAGGCCAATAATGGTCAGCAGAGGTCAACGCAGATGCAGCGGGGTCAATACCGGGCAGCAGAGGTCAACACAGGGCAGCAGCAAATGTCAACGCAAGTCCACACTGAATATTTTTCAACAGGTGAGCGAGACAGTGAAGGAACTACTCTATTGCTTATACGCTGCAGACGTATTCCTGGCATACAATGCTTGGAGCTTTCGAGAGGCGAGGGTAAGACCCTATTACTGACATACTCGTCAACAGCAGCTATTGCTTGCAGTGGAGGCTGTTGACTACTCTACTCTACTCCGACTTCTATTACGTATTTTTAGCATACAACGCTTGAAGATTCGAGAGGCGAGAGATGGATGAGGGAACCGATCCTTCAAAACTGTTGTAAAAGAGCGATCTGCACAAGCACAGGTCATGTCATGTCATGCCATGTCATGTCATGCCATGTCATGTCATGCCATGTCATGTCATGTCATGCCATGTCATGCCATGTCATGTCATGCCATGTCATGTCATGTCATGCCATGTCATGTCATGTCATGCCATGTCATGTCAGGCACAACAAGCCAGTCACAACACAAGCGAGCCAACCAAGCCAGTGACACGTAAGGCACATGTCGCTCACAATCACCCACATGTCCAGGGCTCAAAATGTCAGTCAGATGCAGCCCGCTTCGTACGGTCGGAACGGTTCTGTACCTTAAACTTTTAAATAAACTCTGGCCCATGAACTTGTTTCAGAACTCTGGCCACCCAAAAAATATGAAAAAGGTCGGATACCTTTGCGATGACGACCAGAAAGGGAAAGAGGGAAGAAAGGGCCAGCAAAATTGTATCTAACCTGATAAATAAAGTCGCCTCACTGTGATCCCATAAATTGGCGCCCCTTGATTGAAGAGATTGTTAGCATAGGTGCATGGGTTGCTGAATCAAGTGTCGTCACCGTGGTCACATGGGTTGGTCCCTCCTTGGGTTCTACAAAAGAGATTGTCAGCATAGGTGACACGTACAGGAACGAGAGCTGAGTTAGTTTTGACACGCCAGTGGGGAAGCTTCCTGAGAATGCATTGTTCCCTAGGTCACTGATTGAGGGAGCAAGGGTGGTTTTGGTGCACGCAAGGGTTCCCAAGTCACAAATGTTGGTGAGGTGAGTGAAGTGGCTGGTTAATAATGAAAGTTGAAAGCAACAAAGGCTCTGGTATATGGTGGAGAGGAGAAGAGAAAATGTAGAACTGAAGTTATGTCTGTTGGGACAACTCGACGTCCACAACGAGGGAAGTGAGGCAAATCAACAATAAGTCTCATCTCTTGCTGTGTACTTCAATTCAAGGGTGGCTTCTTCCAGACACTCAAGGATGCTTGGTATTGGAATTTGGATTGAGCGTACTAGACAAGGCGGAAAGAAAGAGTGAAAGTGAGAGGGTGAGCGAAAGAGTTGGAAATGAGATGGAGGAGGGTGACGAACAGGAGAACCAGATTGGTGAGTGCACTCAAAGACAGGGGTACTGCTCCGCTCATTTTGTTGGAGTATAGATCACTGCGATGAAGGGAGGAGGATGTTGATGAGAGGAGGGGGAAAGACACGTGATATAAGTGAGTTATAAATCACTGGTCGAGAAAGTAAAGCAGAAATGAGTACAGGGTTTTAAGGCGGGATAAGGAGCCGATGGCGGGAGGCAAAGCGCCCTCAATGAAGTTGGATGAGAGGCCGCTGCGAGCGGGAGGGCAGAGGGAGGAAGAATGGGAGGAAGAGGGTAGGTGAGATTTGAGTTTCTTAGAGGTGCCTCAGAGGCCATTGGAGACAAGGCACCCTTTATTAAGTTGGATGCGAGGTCGCTGTGAGTGGGACAGGGAGAGGGAGAGGGAGGAGAGGGAGAGGAGGAGGAGGGGGAGATATGAGCTTTGAGTGTTTTGGAGGTGCCTCAGAGGCCGATGGTAGTACGAGGAAAGGCACACTGGCCAAGTTTGGATGAGAGGTCGCTGTGAGTGAGAGCGGGAGAGATGTCGAGAGGGAGGAGAAGGAGGGGGCAGGGAGGGAGGGGGGCAGGAAGGGAGGGAGGGAGGCAGGGAGGCAGGGAGGGAGGGAGGGAGGGAGGGAGGAAGGGAGGGAGGGAGGGAGGGAGGGAGGGAGGGAGGGAGGGAGGGAGGGAGGGAGGGAGGGAGGGAGAAGGGAGTGGGGCGGGGGGGGGGGGGGGGGGGGGGGTAGGGAAAGAAGGAGGGAGACATGCGCACGGTCTCTAGAGATAACCATTTAGTGGCAGTGCAGGCAGCAGGAACGCGTGCAGGACTTGATGGTTCAAAAACTCATCATTCTAGTAAGTGCAGAAATGTGTGCAGCCTCATCACAACATAACAATTCAGTGGTGGTGCAGGCAGGAACGAGTACAGGACTTTAAGGGTGGATAAAAAGGCGATGATAGATGAACGATTTATTATTTGAGACATCTCGAGCTGCATTTATTGTAACGCAATTTAGTGGCAGTGCAGAAAGGCGTACAGGCGTTGAAGATTGGATAAAGAACCGATGGTGGAAGGCAAGGCACCCTTTAGGTCGTTATATGAGAGATCGCTGCGAGCAGGAGGAAGGGGAGGGAGAGACGGGGAGAGGGGAGAGATACGGTGGTGAAAGAGGGATGAGTTATAAGTTCCTCTAAGGTGCCTCAAGAGCCGATGGTGGAAGGCAAGGCACCCTCTCAGCCGTTGTATGAGAGATTGCTGCGAGCGGGAGAAGGGGGAGGGAGAGATGAGGAGAGGCGAGAGATACGGTGGTGAGAGAGGGAGAGATGGGGAGAAACATGGGATAGAGGGAGAAAGGGGGAGAGAGGGAGAAAGAGGGAGGGGGATAGAGGAGGACCACACTTCATGGCTAGGTTCACTGGTTGTAAAAACTCAATATTTGTGTGTTGTTTGATACATTGAGTTGGACATGGGAGAAGGTTTAGCGAGTTTGGCTTGGGACGATGTCGTGGAATCTATTTCTTGCTCCCAACCATTTTCACGCAACGAAAATTCTATATCCAAAAATCCCGGTAGGTTCACCATAAACCTGGCAGGCTGTTCCATCCTTCGGCTCGTGACAGACCAGCCACTGACTGGCCATTGTATGCTGATTTGGTAGGTTCACCCCTGGCTCATCATTATTTGGTCACATGTTGGTCATTGCTCATGCAATGCTCATGCATTGCTCATGCATTGCGCATGCTCATCTGTGCACATGCCCATCTCTACATGCTCCCACTCATGTGTGCATGCTCCCACTCATACTCACAGATAGCTCAGCCTGTCCAAGGCACTGATGTAATCTGGAATGGACCCGGTTAAGCCTTTGTTAGACAGATGCCTGGTGGGCAGTGGAATGGAATGGTTGGGGAACATCATTAATCTTATGGTAGTGCTTAGAGCGCTTTCTTTCAATATGAGCCACACAAGCATATTGGAGGGAAACGGAGAATAGAAAGGGGGTTATTAAGTAGGTTAGACAGCATTAACACCTAGTATCACTTACAAATGTCTACCTTCCGTTTCAAATGGACCTTTCGGTTCTGCGGTGACATTTGGAAGGAGAGCATTCATCACAAAATCAAGTGGCGGAAAACCTCTCGTGAAGTGTGTTTGTTGTGTTTTTGCAGATGATTTGAAGATGTAGGGGTTGGTACTTTTTTAGAAGAAAGTATCGAACTTTTTCCAGATGATATGTCAGATGCTTTGCCAATGATCGGTGTGTTTTTAAACAGTTTGGAAATGGTTGTGAGGAACTTCTCATTGTGTTTGGGATAACTTGTTTAAATCATACTATGTGCTTCAATTTTGGACTTGGATAAGGTTTGCAATTTATTTTTATATGCATAAAATAATCTTGGAAAGGGTTTATGGGGTATTATAAATAAACATAATCAGAGTTTGAAAAACCCAGTTGGTAGTTTCTTTAGCACTTTCCATAAATACACCGTAAGAGGGAAGGCATGTACGTGTAAATCATAATATTAGCTTGAAAAGGTTTACAACACACTAGATGCCTACTTATTCTATGGTTCTTAGCTACTCTACTAATCATCCTTGGTTAATGACACCTGCGCTACTACTACCCACTATCAACCCTAGGTCCATACTCTGCTTGGGTCTTCCTTCTATGCTACTCCCTGCTGCATCCTCCCTTCTGTGCTATTATTTCTTAACCCCGCCCCCTTGATGTCAATCCTTGCTTCGCCCTCATGTTGTTACTACTGTGCTCCCCTCCCTGCTGTTACTCCTGCGCACCTCTCCTTGCTGATACTCCTCTCCTCCCTTCCTCCCTTCCCTGCTGTGGTTCCCCTGCTCCCCTCCCTGCTATGACTCCTCTCCTCCCTTCCCTGCTGTGGTTACCCTGCTCCCCTCTCTGCTGTGGTTTCTCTCCTCCCTTCCCTGCTATGGTTCCTCTCCTCCCCTCCCTGCTGTGGTTCCTCTCCTCCCTTCCCTGCTGTGGTTCCCATGCTCCCCTCCCTGCTATGGTTCCTCTCCTTCCTTCCCTGCTGTGGTTCCTCTGCTCCTCTCCCTACTGTGGTTCTTCTCCTCCCCTCCCTGCTGTGGTTCCCCTGCTCCCCTCCCTGCTGTGACTCCTCTCCTCCCTACCCTGCTGTGGTTCACCTGCTCCCTTCCCTGCTGTGGTTCCTCTCCTCCCTTCCCTGCTGTGGTTCCCCTGCTCCTCTCCCTGCTGTGGTTCCTCTCCTCCCCTCCCTGCTGTGGTTCCTCTCCTCCCCTCCATGCTGTGGTTCCTCTCCTCCCTTCCCTGCTGTGGTTCCCACGCTCCCCTCCCTGCTATGGTTCCTCTCCTCCCTTCCCTGCTGTGTTTCCCCTGCTCCTCTCCCTGCTGTGGTTCCTCTCCTCCCCTCCCTTCTGTGGTTCCTCTCCTCCCCTCCATGCTGTGGTTCCTCTCCTCCCTTCCCTGCTGTGGTTCCCACGCTCCCCTCCCTGCTATGGTTCCTCTCCTCCCTTCCCTGCTGTGGTTCCCCTGCTCCTCTCTGTTGGTGCAACCCTATGGTTTGCACTCGGCTTGTTGTCCGTGTGCGTGCATGTGTGTGTGTGTATGGAATGGTATGAGGGCATGGGATAATATATATTTCATGCTTATAATTGTGTGTGAATGTTGAGTCATGATGTCGAGTGTGTGTGTTGAGTCAATAGCGAGTTATCGCTAGACGCGTGTTACGCGGTCGTTTGTGTCTCGCGCGGTTTCTATTTTGTCGTGCGCGGTTTCTATTTTGTCCTGTGTCGAACGTTCGGTGTGTCGCAGGTGTGTGCAGCAGACCCATCAAAAAACTCAAGGATGAGTTTGTGATGAAGAGCCCGAGCCTTGGTGTCAAGCCTCAGGTGATTTCAAAGCTCGCCAAAAGGGTACACCTCAAGATATTGAAGATAGTTACATTACTTTGTGTAGTGTAACATTTCACTTGGTGTAGGCCCTAGTGAAGGGTAGTTTCGAGACCCTTCGTGGTTGGGGACAGTGTGGCACTGTTCCACATCACTGTACCTCGGCTCTTGGGGTTTGTAGGAGCTGGGAGTCATTCCCAACTCGTAAACTCTTCAGATCTCTTCCTATTTTGTGTTCTAAGACTATAGTGGCTGCCATAGTGCCGTTCGTTCAAACCAACACTGTGTCGTCAATACTTGGTCAAATCGTGCTATCTAAATTGCCTATTGTAGGCGACGTTCAGACGCTCCAGATCCAAGTTGAATCAGGTCATTTGAAGTTGTGACCAGAACGCTATGAACGTTTGAAGCCACTGTGCAGAAATCCGGCTGTGCACTCTATCTTTCGTTTTAGGCACATTGGAGCCTATTGTGACTATAACAAGTGGTATCAGAGCGCCTTGGAGCAGTTTCGACAATGGCTGGACATGAGGAAAGGGGTGGCAGAGGTGCTGGTGGTAGAGGAGAAGCCCAAGCTCAAGGCCAACCCCATGACTCAGCCATGGCGCCCGTGCAACCAAGTGTTGGCCCATCTAGGGATGAGCCTAGAGTGTTTGGGCTTGACAAGTTCAATGGTGACAACTTTGCTGAGTGGTCCTTCAGAATGGAGAACATATTTGACCACTATGACCTGCTGGAGGTGATGGAAGGAACGGAGAAGCGTCCCGAGAACGACCCGGAGAAGAGCCCGTGGGTGCGGAAGAGCGCACAAGGCTACCTCCTACTTGGGCAAGCGTTGGGGAGCAGCCAAATCCGTCACATCAAGCCTTTCCAGCGTGAACCAGAGAAGGGACCAAAAGCATGGGCTGCTCTCAAGGGTGTACACGCTCCTGCAACAGCGGCGGTAGCTGTGGTGTTGGAACGGCAAATGGCGACGTTACGAATTGAAGAGGATGAAGCGGTAGAAGAAGGGGTGCAGAAATTCTTCGACTTGTTGACGCGGCTTGAGGGAGCTGATTTGAACTATAGTGAGCTCCAAAAGAAGACCAAGTTGCTGGCCCTACTCCCCGAATCATGGTCCTCGCTCATCATCAACCTCAATCGCGACTTGCCCCGCCTCTCGCTCGAAGACGTGAAGCGGGCTATCCTTCAAGAGGATTTCCGCCGTCGTGAGTTGGCGAGTGCGGATGGCGCTGGGGCAGCGAGCATCGGCCGTGGATATGGTCGAGGAAGAGGCAGAGGAAAAGGGGGAGGAAGGTTTGGTGGCAGCAACTTTGGCGGAGGCCGCGGGAGTGGCGGTTACGGCAGCAATGACAAGAGCTACGGACGCGGTCGCGGCCGATTCGACGGCGAGTGTCACTATTGCCACAAGAGCGGACACATGTGGCGCGACTGCTACAAACTCCCTGATGGTTGGACCCCTGCTCAAGGCCAAGAGGGTAGAGGAGCAGGAGGAGGGAGAGGACGAGGCCGTAGAGGCCGTGGCGGTCGCGGTGGCGGAGTTGCAAACATGAAGAGCGGAGACAACGACAAGGACCCGAGCGACGATCGATACCCGGGTCTATTCTACTTCGTGTCGACGCAAGCACCGGCTGGTCCAGAGAAGGATGAAGACTTTGAGGAGCCAGCAGCTGTGGGGAAGGTGACCCTACACCCCCTGGACTACTGGGTGATTGATAGTGGCGCTACCTATAGCATGACACCTCGCCCGGACTTGCTCACCGAACTCGAGCCGTCACCGGTGAAGCATGTCACATCGGCTTTGGGGCAGCGAGCAGAGGTGAAAGGCATGGGGAAGGCCATGTTCAAGGGTGCTGATGGGAAGATGGTGGGCCTCAAGAACGTGCTTTGGGTGCCCAGCCTTGCTGCAAAACCTGATTTCCGTGCGGCGGTTGGCAAAGGCCGGCATGGACACTAACTCGAAGGGAGCCAAGACCTACACCGCAAGGCTTGGCGATCGAATTCTCTGGGACCTTCATGAGGACAGGGATGTCTACAACGAGATGTGGCAGATTCCAGTGGTCCCTATGCCTAAGGAGAGGCAAGTGGCAGCAAGCATCAGCACCAAGGATGGAGCGGTCGGTAGCGACGATGGCGCGAACGGTGGCGCTAAGGAGAATGAGCTCAAGAAGAGCAAACCTGGAGGGACCAGCAAGTTCAGTGAACCTAAGGAGAGTGGTGCAGCAGCCAAAGAGCAGCAAAAGGGTGAGGAGAACCCCGAGGCAGCAGCGGAGGAGGACTACGGAGAGAGTATGTGGGGGCGCTATTGCGAGCGCGGCATTCTCCAATCCAACTTCGGCTACGGGGGAGTGTGATTGGCTCACCTTGCATCGGCGCATGGGGCATGTGGCCCTGCCTATCTTGCAGCAGCTAGTGAAGAATGAGATGGTTGCTGGTATACGTGTGAAGGGGGAGCCCGATGAGGTGCTTGGCTGCCCGACGTGCATTCAAGCCAAGTTCACCCGGTTTCCGTTCTCTAGTTCGGAGGCAACGGCAAAGGCACCGCTTGATGAGGTGGTGATGGACGTGGTGGGCCCCCTGAAGCTTGGAGCTGCTGGAGCTGAGTATTTTCTCACCATTGTTGACGTCTACACCCGCATGACTTGGGTGTACGTGCTGGCCAAGAAGAGTGACGTGGCTGAAACGTTGAAGGCGGATTGGTTCCCGATGGTGGAGCGGCAACAAGACCGTCTAGTCAAGTCAATCCGCACCGATCGAGGGGGAGAGTTCCTGAGCAAGGAGTTTGGGTTGTGGCTGAAGAAGAATGGTATTCGGCACTCCCTCACCATGCCATACTCCCCTGCAATGAACGGCATCGCCGAGCGAGCGAACCGCACAATCACGGAGGCGGCGCGCGGGTTGCTCATTGAAGCCGGGCTACCCGACTATTTCTGGCCTGATGCGGTGCGGAGCGCGTGTGTGGCCAAGAACAGAGCCTTGACTCATGTGGGAGCAGACAAATGGGTGCCCTATGAGGAGTGGCTAGGAAGGAAGCCAAAGGTGGATATGCTTCGGGTGTTCGGGTGCATGTGCATGGCGCTTGTGCCTAAGCATCTTCGGCACAACAAGCTTGGTGCCAAGGCGGTGTGGGCCGTGCACTTGGGCATGGCTCAAAACAGCAAGGGATGGCTTCTTTGGGACCCATTCACCAAGAAGTTCTTGGTGAGCAGGGACTGCAAGTTCATGGAGAACTTCATGTACAAGGATTGGAAGGCGGAGAATGAGGCGAAGATAGGCGTGCGGTTTGGGGAGGTGAAGAGTTCCGGTTTGGAGCATGTGGAGCTGCCTTTGGAGCTGAGCAGCGGCAGCACAACCACGAGGCAATCCTCCCTTGTGAATGGGGGAGAGGAGGCCAATGATGCAGAGGAAGAAGAGGAGGAGGTGCAGCAAGTGAGCGAGCGTGCACCGTCACTCCCTTCCCGTACCACGAGTGCTCCACGGATTCGAGCCACACCGCAGCAACGCCAAGGCCTTCAAGTCCCTGCAGCTGAGGAGGAAGGAAGGGGGAAGAGGAGAGTTCAACCCCCTAATAGGCTGACCTATGATGCACTTGGAAAGCAAGGCAAGACAGCCCTGGCCGGAGCGGCAATGATGGTCGGAGACGACGAGGAGAGTGACTACGAGGAGTGTGCCTTCGCGTTCTTCTCTCCGGTGGAGATGCCGGGAGAACCAGCAACTCTCAAGGAGGCTTGGAGAGTAGTGATGCTGAGGAGTGGAAGAAGGCCATGGAGAGTGAGCTGAAGAGCATCGAGGAGAATGACATGTTTGAATTGGTGGAGCTACCGGAGGGGCGTACGGCGATAACGTCCAAGTGGCTCTTCAAAATCAAGTCGGATGCCGACGGCAAGATCGAGTGTTACAAGTCTAGGCTTGTAGCCAAGGGGTACCAGCAGAAGGAGAAGGTGGACTTCAAGGAGCTGTTTGCCCCTGTGGTGAAGCCGACGACGCTGCGAACCCTATTCGCGGGAGCCGCCATCAAAGGATGGGTGGTGAAGCAAATGGACATTGTGACGGCATTCCTTAACGGCATCCTTGAGGAGGAGATTTTTATGGCGCAGCCAGAGGGGTTTGATGATGGTAGTGGCAGAGTGTGGAAGCTGAAGAAGGCCCTCTATGGGCTGAATCAGGCCCCTAGGCAATGGTACATGAAGCTGCGCGAAGTGTTGGAGGAGATCGGCTTCACTCCCTCAACGGCCGATCACTCCTTGTTCATGCCTGGCGAGGGGGAGCAGAGGAGCTTCATGGTGGTTTATGTGGATGACATTCTCATATTCTCACCCTCCTCTGACCTTGTGAAGGAGGTGATGCTGAAGCTGCATGACAAGTTCAAGTGCAAGTCCCTTGGTGACGTGAACTTCTACCTTGGGCTCCATATCGAACGAGACGTGGAGAAGCGGAGCATGCGAGTGCACCAACGGAAGTACCTGGAGGCGTTGGCTGCCAACTTCGGCCAGAGTGAAGGTCATGTGGCTACTCCCTTTCCCTCTGGGTTCAAGTGTGTGAAGGGGCCAGAGGTGGAGAGCGTTGGAGAAGAGGAGAGGCGCCGATTTCACTCGTTGGTGGGCAGCCTCATGTATGCGGCGGTAAACACCCGACCCGGACGTCGCGTTTGCTACCGGGCAGCTGGCTAGGGTTGTGCAATGCCCTAATGAGGAGCAGGTAGCAGCTGGAATGAGGGTGGCCAAGTATCTTGGCCAAACACCGACCGTTGGGCTGCAATACTCGGCGGCGGCACAAAGGCGCCAAAAGGGCGCGGATGGTGTTGAACCCGGGCATTTGTTCCTCACCGCCTACTCGGATGCTTCATATGCATCAGAACCAGAGGACATGACAAGTGTGGGAGGCTTCATATGCTGTGTTGGTGGAGGCCCAACTGCTTGGGAGAGCAAGAAGCAGGTTGACCAAGCTTTGAGCTCGGTGGAGTCCGAGTACATGGCACTCTTCCGTGCCGTACGGGAGATTGTGTGGCAGCGGCGTTTGTTGGCTGAATTGGGGGAGGAGCAGCAAGGACCTACCCCACTGTATTGTGACAGCCAGGGTGCCATTGCTCTTGCTAAAAACCCTGTGTTGCATGGACTCACGAAGCACATGAGGGTGAAGTGGCATTGGACGAGGAGCATGGTAACCGCGGTGTGAAGTTGAGTTGCGCTACGTGAAGACCACGGGGCAGCCGGCTGACATGATGACCAAGAGGCCTGGTGGAGCAGCAGCATTGGAAGTGTTGCAAGCTGGCTGGGATGGCTCTGAACTGACAGAGCAACATATCCTAAGGCCAACAATCCGAGGGGGAGTTTGTTGGTGCAACCCTATGGTTTGCACTCGGCTTGTTGTCCGTGTGCGTGCATGTGTGTGTGTGTATGGAATGGTATGAGGGCATGGGATAATATATATTTCATGCTTATAATTGTGTGTGAATGTTGAGTCATGATGTCGAGTGTGTGTGTTGAGTCAATAGCGAGTTATCGCTAGACGCGTGTTACGCGGTCGTTTGTGTCTCGCGCGGTTTCTATTTTGTCGTGCGCGGTTTCTATTTTGTCCTGTGTCGAACGTTCGGTGTGTCGCAGGTGTGTGCAGCAGACCCATCAAAAAACTCAAGGATGAGTTTGTGATGAAGAGCCCGAGCCTTGGTGTCAAGCCTCAGGTGATTTCAAAGCTCGCCAAAAGGGTACACCTCAAGATATTGAAGATAGTTACATTACTTTGTGTAGTGTAACATTTCACTTGGTGTAGGCCCTAGTGAAGGGTAGTTTCGAGACCCTTCGTGGTTGGGGACAGTGTGGCACTGTTCCACATCACTGTACCTCGGCTCTTGGGGTTTGTAGGAGCTGGGAGTCATTCCCAACTCGTAACTCTTCAGATCTCTTCCTATTTTGTGTTCTAAGACTATAGTGGCTGCCATAGTGCCGTTCGTTCAAACCAACACTGTGTCGTCAATACTTGGTCAAATCGTGCGATCTAAATTGCCTATTGTAGGCGACGTTCAGACGCTCCAGATCCAAGTTGAATCAGGTCATTTAAAGTTGTGACCAGAACGCTATGAACGTTTGAAGCCACTGTGCAGAAATCCGGCTGTGCACTCTATCTTTCGTTTTAGGCACATCGGAGCCTATTGTGACTATAACACTCTCCCTGCTGTGGTTCCTCTCCTCCCCTCCCTGCTATGGTTCCTCTCCTCCCCTCCCTGCTATGGTTCCTCTCCTCCCTTCCCTGCTGTGGTTCCCCTGCTCCTCTCCTTGCTGTTGTTCCTCTCCTCCCCTCCCTGCTATGGTTCCCCTGCTCCCCTCCCTTCCCTGCTGTGGTTCACCTGCTCCATTCCCTGCTCTCCTCCCCTCCCTGCTGTGGTTCCTCTCCTCCCCTCCCTGCTGTGGTTCCCCTGCTCCCCTCCCTGCTGTCACTCCTCTCCTCCCTTCCCTGCTGTGGTTCACCTGCTCCCTTCCTGCTGTGGTTCCTCTCCTCCCTTCCCTGCTGTGGTTCTCCTGCTCCTCTCCCTGCTGTGGTTCCTCTCCTCCCCTCCCTGCTGTGGTTCCTCTCCTCCCCTCCATGATGTGGTTCCTCTCCTCCCTTCCCTGCTGTGGTTCCCACGCTCCCCTCCCTGCTATGGTTCCTTTCCTCCCTTCCCTGCTGTGGTTCCCCTGCTCCTCTCCCTGCTGTGGTTCCTCTCCTCCCCTCCATGATGTGGTTCCTCTCCTCCCTTCCCTGCTGTGGTTCCCACGCTCCCCTCCCTGCTATGGTTCCTCTCCTCCCTTCCCTGCTGTGGTTCCTCTCCTCCCCTCCCTGCTATGGTTCCCCTGCTCCCCTCCCTTCCCTGCTGTGGTTCACCTGCTCCCTTCCCTGCTGTGGTTCCTCTCCTCCCCTCCCTGCTGTGGTTCCCCTGCTCCCTCCCTACTGTGACTCTCACCTCTCTTCCCTGCGGTGGTTCCCCTGCTCCCTTCCCTGCTGTGGTTCCTCTCCTCCCTTCCCAACTGTGATTCTCCTACTCCTCTCCCTGCTGTGGTTCCTCTCCTCCCTTCCCTGCTGTGGTTCCCACGCTCCCCTCCCTGCTATGGTTCCTCTCCTCCCTTCCCTGCTGTGGTTCCCCTGCTCCTCTCCCTGCTGTGGTTCCTCTCCTCCCCTCCCTGCTATGGTTCCTCTCCTCCCTCCCTGCTATGGTTCCTCTCCTCCCTTCCCTGCTGTGGTTCCCCTGCTCCTCTCCTTGCTGTGGTTCCTCTCCTCCCCTCCCTGCTATGGTTCCCCTGCTCCCTCCCTTCACTGCTGTGGTTCACCTGCTCCATTCCCTGCTGTGGTTCCTCTCCTCCCCTCCCTGCTGTGGTTCCCCTGCTCCCCTCCCTGCTGTCACTCCTCTCCTCCCTTCCCTGCTGTGGTTCACCTGCTCCCTTCCCTGCTGTGGTTCCCCTGCTCCTCTCCCTGCTGTGGTTCCTCTCCTCCCCTCCCTGCTGTGGTTCCTCTCCTCCCCTCCATGATGTGGTTCCTCTCCTCCCTTCCCTGCTGTGGTTCCCACGCTACCCTCCCTGCTATGGTTCCTCTCCTCCCTTTCCTGCTGTGGTTCCCCTGCTCCTCTCCCTGCTGTGGTTCCTCTCCTCCCCTCCCTGCTATGGTTCCTCTCCTCCCCTCCATGATGTGGTTCCTCTCCTCCCTTCCCTGCTGTGGTTCCCACGCTCCCCTCCCTGCTATGGTTCCTCTCCTCCCTTCCCTGCTGTGGTTCCCCTGCTCCTCTCCCTGCTGTGGTTCCTCTCCTCCTCCCTGCTATGGTTCCCCTGCTCCCCTCCCTTCCTGCTGTGGTTCACCTGCTCCCTTCCCTGCTGTGGTTCCTCTCCTCCCCTCCCTGCTGTGGTTCCCCTGCTCCCCTCCCTGCTGTGACTCCTCACCTCTCTTCCCTGCTGTGGTTCCCCTGCTCCCTTCCCTGCTGTGGTTCCTCTCCTCCCTTCCCTGCTGTGATTCTCCTACTCCTCCCTGCTGTGGTTCCTCTCCTCCCCTCCCTGGTGTGGTTCCCGTGCTCCTCTCCCTGCTGTGGTTCCTCTCCTCCCCTCCCTGCTGTGGTTCCCCTGTCCCCACATCTGCTCTTACTACAAGCTCGGAGCACTGCAATTCCACCATTCATCTCCTCTAGACATGCACTGACGCCACCCTCCTTGTCGGATTGCGGGGTTGTGGTCTTGGCCTATACTCCTCAAAACCCGACTCATGGACAAACAAGCCAAAATTCCCCCACCTAAACCCCTTCATCCGTGGGTCGTAGACAGGGTTCACCTGGCTGAAATGATCCGTCACCGCCCGCTTCACCGCCCTGCGGATGCTTGCCACCCACCGCGTGTTCTTTCGGTGGGAGTTTGTGAGGTTCATTGTCGACTTCTTGACCTTCGACAAGCCGTAGTCTCATCGCATTGTCAAGAAAGGGAGCATGGACAGATTCAAGCGTGATAAGTGTGAGAGGTCGGAATCATGTG